AAGTGCTAGATTAGTAGCTTCTATTTTTAAAGAAGTGGTGTTTTGCTGCCACCAACAGGACAACAGGCATTCCTTCATGGAAGTTACAAAACTAGCTGAATATGTAAACTCATTGCAAACTCAGAAGGCTATAAGAACCCTTAAACTCAACAATAAAAAGTACCAGATAACCCAATTAAAAATTGGACAAAATATCTGAATAGATATTTCTAAGAAAAAAAAAGATATACATATAGCAATGAGCTCATGAAAGGATGCTCAACATCATTAGCCATCAGTGAAATGCAAATTAAACCAAGAAGAGATTCTGCTTGCTGCCCACTAGAGTGACTATAATAAAAAAGATGATAATAAGGGTTAGCAAGGGTATAGAAAAATTAGAACCCTCATTGTTTTAATTGTCTCTTATTTATCCTGCTGGTATGGGAGGGATTCCTGCTCTAGGATTTTGGAGATAATTGATTATTATGACTTGATTGAGAGAGTGCAGTGAGAGGGAGGAAAGGGGGAGATGAGAAGAGGGCTAAACTTGGCCAGACCATGAAAACCTTGTGGGTTCCATTATAAAATGAAGTTTACCAAGAGCAGTGGGAGGCCATTGAAAGGATTTAAATCAGGAGGTCAGTTACTTCTCTGACCTTCCTCCCATAGTCCTTCTCAGAGCACACAGCCTGGGCAGGGCTTTCCACCTACCTGGAATGTTCCTGTGCACATCAGCATTGCTCCCTCCCTCACTGCCTCAAGTCTTTGACCAACCCCCTCCGCTCCAGCCCCTTACTTGGTGAACCAGACTCCCTATTTAACATGGTAAAACCAATCACAATTGCCCTCTACCCTGCTGAACCTTTCCTTTTTCCACAGCACTACTGCTTCTCATATACATGATTTACATACTTGTTATGTTCCTTGGTTATTAACTGTGTGCTATAACACAGGCTTCATCGAGGCAAGTATTTTCACTAATCTAGTCAAGCATATAAAATAGTGTCTGTCTCCAAGTAGGTGTTTGGTGAATATTTGCTGAATAGCGAATAACAAAATTTGTTTTAAAAGGACACGAATGGTGACCACGTGGGAAGGGGCTGGACAATGGCCAAAAGTATTTGGAAGAGGAGCAGTGTCCGCTTCTCTTAGCTCCACTGCTAAAACCAAAGCCAAGCCACCAACTTCTCTTAAACATCGCACTCCAGACAAAGGCGTTCTTCCTTTTTTAAGCATAGAAAACCCTCTGTGGGACCTTTATATTTGCTTCTTCTGTCTAGAAGGCTCATTCTCCAGATTTTTGGCAGAGCTGGCTACTTCTTTTCATTCACTGTTCAGCTCAAATATCACCCTTTAAAGCATTTTTATTGACAAGCTAATTCAAAGAAAGAGGACTCTTCTCCCTCTGCACCAACATCTCTCTCCCTGATAAACCTAAACAAACACAATGCTAAAGTCATTACATTTGTGCAATTACTATCTTTCATTCATCAGAACACAGGATCCATGAATATGGGGTCTGTCCTCATCAATACTTTACTGCCAAAGCCAAGTGCCTTCCACTCGATAGGTGTCCAATATTTCTTATTGAAAGAGGTCACTGCAACAGTCCAGGTCAGAGAGTTCAGAGCCCCACATTCTCATCTAGGTGGATCCACTTAGATGCCAGAGATTTAAAAAAGAGAAGACAGAAGCGAGGATAGCTTCCAGGTTTCTACTTTGAGCTGCTGGGGAGTGAGTGCCTTTACTGAGGGGGAAGGTGACAGAGAAGGCGGAACAGGTCTGGGAGGGCATATTGGTTCGTTTTGACTTTTAGATTTGATGTGCCTCTGAAACATCTAAACAGACTTATTAAATCCACTGCCAAACATTTGAGTGCAGGCTAAATATAAAGAGGAGAATGAACATCCTATCTAATAAAGAGGGAATATGCTAATTGACTATCATGCCCTCACAAAGATGGCAGCGCCCACAGCCAGTAAGGAGGGAATATGCTAATTGACTTCAAAGATGATGGCACCACAGCCACAAGATGGCGGCGCCCAGTCCCCTCAGCCTCGCCGGGGTGCCTGCCTCCAGAGTCCCTCAGTTCCCTCAGTCCCCCAGACATCCAGGGCTGTCCCGAGGCACAGGCAAGCCTGGATGGTGGCTGCCTAACCACCCAGGGCCACCCAAGGCGCAGACAACCAGGGCCAGCTGAGGCCTGCAATGGCAGCAGCAGAGGTCTGATGGGGGCATCACCTTCCCCTGATCACTGAGTCACTTCCCACCCCTGAGTCACAGGCTCCCAGACTGTGAGAGGGGCAGGGTGGGCTGAGGGACCCCCCTCCAAATGCATGAATTTCATGCACCAGGCCTCTAGTTTATAAATAAAGCCAGGGGAATGAACATAATCAACAAGGAAGAAGCTGTTTAAAAACACTACAAATCCAGTTTTGCCATTATTAAGCCAAAAGACTTTAGATACCCTGGGGCCTGGGTCCTCTTAGGTCTCAACTCAGGGAGAGAATTTGATGGTTTTCTCTGGACATTTATTGTGTGCTAATGAGAAACCTATGGTAACACTTAGCACAGAATAAGTGCTCAGAAATGGTACTTTCCTTTCTGATTCCCCACATCCCAACAAACACTTCTAATTCAGAGGAACCAGAAGCCTCTCTGCCACTGGGTCCATAAGCATAAGCACTTTGAACTATCCCTACTTTTATTTTTATATAAATAAATATAGTCTTTTATCTGGCATATTAGCTAAGAAGCTAAAAGTCAGTGTCATATGTGTTTGTTGTAGTCTTTTTACAGATGGGGGCAATCAGCTCAGTCAAGTCTACTTCAATTCTCCGATCTACACTGTCTCTATGTGGAGTCAGCTCCGGGATTCACATAAGAAAGTGATAGAAATATAGGCCAGTAGCAGTGAGAAAGCTCCCATTTTTATCTTCTCTATCTGGTCAAATTCTCCAAGGCAATAACAGATGAGTAGCCACGTTATTTCTAGAGAAGGTACAAAAGCCTTTCTGCCCAGTGGCCAGAGAGTATCCTCTACATATGTCATATAGAGGTTAACATGGCCAAAAATACCTATGAATTAGAAGACAACTTACCAGATGAATACATATTGGCTGACACAGAGTACAGGTCTGATATCCAGAGGGAAAGGCCTGGGTTAGCCACAAACGACAGACTAAGCATGTGTTAAGCGTACCAGTAAAGAAAGGTCACCACAAAAATGAGAAAATGCATCATGGGAAAGAGGGGATATCTGATATATTTTTTAAATTAGATATGATAGAAAAATCAGAACTCTGTTAGACTTCTTACACTTATGGTTTAATACTGTTTTCAACCTATAGTACATAATACTGTCACAAGGCATTCTAAAAGTTTTATTCCAGCCCTATTCAGAAAGCATCTTAAAAAGTGGTGTTATTTTTTAATGACAAGAAATAAAAAGTTAGAGGTAGAGAGATTCATAATTCATTAAAAGATACATATAAATGTATTTGTTATTTTATTGAAGGTATTGTACATAGTTTCCTAACTTCTAAAATAACTTCCATATAAGAATGTTCATATCTAGCCGAAACCGGTTTGGCTCAATGGATAGAGCATCGGCTTGGGGACTGAAAGGTCCCGGGTTTGATTCCGGTCAAGGGCATGTACCTTGGTTGCGGGCATATCCCCAGTAGGAGGTGTGCAAGAGGCAACTGATCGATGACTCTCTCTCATCGATGTTTCTAACTCTCTATCTCTCTTCCTTCCTCTCTGTACAAAATCAATAAAATATATTAAAAAAAAAAAAGAATGTTCATATCTAAACTCAAAATTATTAAACAGACAATTTAAAGTACATTTAGCGAACTTCACTAAAACAAATGAATACTAGGTGAAGAGCTTCAACCTGCATCTTGAGTTGCACAGACCCATATGATGTCATACCTTTGTTCTAAAATCTAGTTCAAGGTCTTCCATGGCTAAGCATGGAAGCTCTCCTAAAACATCAAGGGGCTCTCTAAAGGTATCAAGTCATTAACTTTTGGAAAATTTGGAAACATGATGGGGAACCTAGAAAAATATTCTGAGCTATCTTGTGACTACAATAGTAATCACAATAACAACAACTAACATTTATTAGGCAATACAATTTTCTAGACACTATGTTAGAAACTTTTAGGTATCATCTTATTTCATTCTTATCATAATCCCATAAGTTAGCTTCTATTATTATCTCAAAACTCAGGGTCTGAGCACTTAATTTGCCCAAGGTCACTAGAACTGAAATTAGAACCAAATCCAGTGGCTGTGATTTTAACCACTATGCTTTACTGGGGAAAAGGTGAACCTGCATCTTTTAATATATAAGGTAATTATCACTTTCAATAACGAAATGTCATATTTGACTGAAGGACAAAAACTAACTGGGTTATTTTCACCAACTCTGCAGCAAATGTCTTGCTGTTACCACACTATTAAAGCAGCATTGATATGTTGATATAAAATTCAACAAGGTAATTATAACTGTATTCTACTGGTAAAGTGTCTTATAAATTTCTAGCTATCAGAGAAAGAACTGCAAATTGAAATGTAGCAGTTTCCTTTTTAGTCTGTATGTTACAGAAGCTTTCTAATAATTCAATGACATGTTTAGTTATCTCTAAGGATGTTATTATGGTAAGACGTATTTTAAGAGAGAAAAAAAAGGGCATCATTTTGACAGAAACAGGTTTTTACTTTTTCTTTTATATCATCTAACTCATATGAATGAAAACCTTTTTTTAATTATTGGAATGAGAGCTATGACAGAAAGATTAAATAGATTATAAGGAAAACAAAGAAACAAACTCTAAATAAACAACAACAAAAGAGGATGGGAAGAAGGGACAGGAGCAGAGTTCCTCAATGAAATCTTTTCTGTGTGTTTAAGAATCTAAATGAGTTAGAGATTATAAATTGATTTATGCCCAGTTCACAGGGCAGAGAAGTCAGAGAGTTTGGTAACTTAAAAAGAAAAACAGACTTACCTTTAGAAGAGCCAAGGCTACATGAAAGATTATATTCAAACGCTGAAATTAAAAGAAAAAGATTCAAAGTCAACATTGCCACATTTACCACAATTTTATTAAGTATTTCCCCAAGACTTCTACACATCATTTTCACATCCTATATATAATAATAAAAGCCTAATATGCAAATCAACCAAAAGGCAGAATGACCAGCAGAACGACCGGTGCTATGATGTGCACTGACCACCAGGGGCAGACACTCAACTCAGGAGCTGCCCACTAGTGGTCAGTGTGTCCCCACAGGGGGAGCGCTGCTCAACCAGAAGCCAGGCTCATGGCTGGCAAGCTCAGTGGCAGTGGCAGAAGCCTCTCCCACCTCCACAGTAGTGCTAAGGAGCAGCAAGCTGAGCAATAAGGAGCAGCAAGCAGGTGGGAGGTAACAAGCAAGGGACCCTGTACTGTGAGAAGGCGCAGGCTGGGCTGAGGGACCCTTCCCCTCCAGTGCATGAATTTTGTGTACCAGGCCTCTAGTACAATAATCATGAGATTTTTTTAAAAAAAAAGGTATTTTCTTTCTCTGAGAGGTTTATTGCAAACTTGAGGTGCTATTTAATGAATATTCACATAAATCATTGTTTTTACCATAAATCGTTTTCCTTCTATTTCTGGATTATGTACATAGCCTGAGGCTTGCAAAAGTCGAGAGCCTGGGTCAAGGTGGCAGTAATGCAGAAGTCTAAAATTATTAACTGAAATTCCTGGTCTGTATGTTAAACTATCAGTGTCAGGCAAAACAAAACAAATAGTGTTGCTGATAACTGGGACAAGCTGCATGGGGACAGTTGTAAGTTTCACACAGGATTTCTACTACAGATTATTGTTTTGTTGTTTGTTTCAGTTCTTGCTTTAAAATAGTATTTATACAACTAGAGATGGTAATTAGGCCTATCTCGAGTTGCTCTTCTTTCTTTTCTTTTTTTCCTTCTCAAAACCAGAGTAGTATTTCTTTAGAAATAAATTAATTAGCTTGTTAAGAAGCTATTTTGGAGCTGAACTGTGAACTCTGAGCTCAAATTCATTCTGAAGAGATGTTAAATTCAAGAAGAGGGAATTTGAAATGCTCAAGATGACAGTATCAGAAATGAAGTTGTCACAGAATATCCTGTTTCCTTGCCATGCAAGTCATCATACATGAGGAGAAAGTCTTTCAAGTAGGAGGTGACTATGAGTTGATATCTCCCATAATCCCAGGGTCTATCTGATGCACCCTCATCATTTTGGTCACAAATGTAACCTGTCAGCTCTTATGACATGGACTATATCAGATGTATTATGCAATGCAAAGAACTTCTAATAAACCATCTTTTTTTTTTCTTCTACCTACAAAATCAGAAGTGAACATTAGGACTAGGTACTTAGAATGCATTCCTATTATAATTTGCTAATGTAATCTTTCATAGTCAGCCACCAAAAATATGATATGATGGTGGAAGGGAAAATAATAAACAACAAATATTTGGTTGGAGGTTTTGAGTTTTCTCAATTAATTCTTTAAGAAACTAAAAGCAGTAGAAGTATAATCAGGCCAGGAGACAAAAACCTATTTACATAGTTCATTACCACTCAAGCAATGACCTTAGACTATTTACCAATTAGAAAAAGGAAAAAAGATACCAAAGATCTAAAATTTGGGTGACAATTAAGCAGATTTTGCTTTCCTCAAGTTGCATCCTCACCCTCTAACTGCTGCCCACTGCAGCCAAAACTTGCAGACTGAGAGAAAAAAATCTGCCGCCTCAACCCACCCTCCCTCCATCCCACATCACTACTGCTGGGCAGTGGTGAATTCTCACAACCTGAGTGCTTATGCACCTGCCATCAGGACCAAGTCCACCTGGTTCTGTTCTTGTTTTTCTAGTCACCGCTCAAAATGTAAGCCTATCTTTTCTCCATTTCTCTATTCTAAGCTTTCTCCTGTCTGTCTTTCCTTCCCTGTCTCTTCAGCACACTCGTTGGAAACGCCACTCATGTTCAACCAACAGCTGTATTCTTCACTTCCCTCTCAGACATTCCCCTCCCCCACCCCTGCATTCACAGGAATAGTGAAGTCTCATTGATGCTCACAGTGTGTATTATAATTCATATGAACTTGACTAGCCTAAGGGTATAGATGTATTTAGCAGCAGGCTAGGGTCAACTCTATCCCCAAGCCTAACATCTAGTAATGGTATTTTCACCATATAGTGCTGGTAGAACACACATAGTAGGTGCTAATTTGATGACTGAATGATTGAACTATATTAGCTCTCCCAACTTTCTGGAATTTATTCTCTTCTCTATGGACCCAGCTAAACCAATTACAGAATCATCACCAAATATATCTCTAAATAACCAAAATTGCTCTCACTAACACCAAAAGAAAAATTTATTCAAATTAGTTTGGTGATATGATATTACAGTCTATAGATATCAGAAGTTGAAACTAAAACCAAAGTGTGGAGCAGAGAGGATTAGGACATATAGCCTGTAAGGTCAGCTGTCCAAATTAAAATATTAGATCTGATAAAATTGAAGATAGATTTTTTTTAAACCTATAAAATGTATAGGAATCTTGGCCCATAACCTGAAAAAAATATATCAATGTAAACTCTTTTTAAAAGTTCAGGATATCCCTAACTGGTTTTGCTCAATGGATAGAGCATTGGCCTGCGGACTGAAGGTCCCAGGTTTGATTCCAGTCAAGGTTATGTACCTTGGTTGCAGGCACATCCCCAGTGGGAGGTGTGCAGGAGGCAGCTAATTGATGTTTCTCTCTCATCAATGTTTCTGATTCTCTATCCTTCTCCCTTCCTCTCTGCAAAAAATTAATAAAGTATATTTTTTTAAAAGTTTAGGATAAGCAAGTATTACAGTATCTGCTTACATGAAGCTCAAGACATTATCCATTAAAAAACCATCCCCCACACAAAAAATGTAAAAGACTTCACAGCCTTAAACTAAAGTAGAACAGTGTGGTCAGACTATGAAAACAAAGATCCTTTTAGATCTCTAAGCTTTTAAAAATCAGAAAAATCTTGCTAATCTATCAAGATCTTCATTTCACTATAAAGTATATCCTCTTTTTCTAAGAGGAGAATAACAAAGACAGCCTCAGGTTTGATATTTTTAAATCTATTTTTTTCTTTTAAATAAGACATTCTCACAGGAATATAATTAGAGCTATCATTAAATTGCAGAAACTGTCCCTGAGTTAGCATTTGGTCAGTTTAAAAGCTACAAATAGGTTGGATTTACGATGTGACGAAGTCAGTGCAAGTTGTGGCCTCAGCATCCCACCCAACAATCAAATGAACAAAGTGTACCACCGTTCACTCCTCTAACACCGGGAACTGTTCACCTACTCCTACATGATCCAACGCCTGCCTAACTGAGCTGACATTTATTTTTTGAAACATATTTTTAAAAGACAAAGATGTTATACATTTTCCAGGTGCCTCCTTTTTGCAGGAATGTATAATCTGCTGCAATCTGTTTGCTACTGAGGGGGAAATAAGGTTTCCAAAGAGGACTTAAAGGGTAAAACATCTGGAGAGTTATTAAGAGCAAAAATAATAATTACTATGTTATGGTCACTTATTAATTACTAGAGGCCCACACGGATTCGTGCAATGGTGGGGTCCCTAAGCCTGGCCTGTGCCCTCTTGCAATCCAGGACCCCATGGGATATGTCAAACCAGCAGTCCAACACTGCATGCTGCCCCTGCTGCTGCCTGTGGCTCCCACTCATCCCTGCCCTGCTGCACTTCCTGTGGGTTCACATTATCAGTCCTGATTGGGAGAGGCTTGTGCCACCACAGCAGCACTTGCCAGCCATGAGCCCTGCATTGCTCCCTCTGTGGGAGCACACTGACCACCAGGGGGCATCTCCTGCATTGAGTGTCTGCCCCATGGTGGTCCGTGTGTATCATAGTGACTAGATGTTCGGTTGTTTGGTCACTTAGGCCTTTATATATAAAGATAGTAAAAGATCTACCTCCAAGAGCAAGAAAATAAATAAGAACCAACATCCACTGAATATTTCTATGTGCCAAGATCTGAATTAATTATATTGAAAATGAGTCCTTATTTAATGCCATGACAACCCTAAATTCCATTTTTCACCCAGGAAGTTAAGACTTAGAGAAATTAAAGTCAAATTTTCAAGGTCACACACCTAGTAAATTTTAACCTACCTAAGTAGTGCCATTCTACATGTCACACTCTTAACTACTAAGTTAGAGATGGTGGCTCAATGGTGAATGAATGAATGAATAAATTAGTTGGGTATTACTTAATGTGTCCTCTAATTCCTAAAGGATTAAAGTGATTTCTTCCATTTAAATGGAAGTAAATTTTTCAAAAAGAGAGTGAAAATACCAAATAGGTGACTTCTACCAAAACCAAGTTTTATTATTTTCTCCCATTTTGAAAATACAAGTTGACCACTTACAGGATGTGAGGCAAAAACCCTGCTGTGGTGGAAAGAAAGGGTCCCCACCTTCCTCCAGTGACAACAGACTGAGATCAGATTGGGAATCTGCTGTTTCAAAATTCAGTCACAGCCTGGGAAAATGTTCGCTTAAAGAACGCCTACACGTAATTGCCCCAAATGAAATAATTGCTCTAAAGTGCAGATCGCTGTGTTCCTGGGGAGGCCGACAACTAAGCAATCCTGCACAAAAGAAGGCTGAGTGCAGAGCACCCACAGAAACAGCACACCCTCGGGTTCTGATGAGCAAGTAATCGTGGGCTCAGGGAGCTGACAGATTACATGAGATGCTGTCAAAGCTGACATTGACAGCGCCGAGAACAAACGCTGAAAAGGTGGTGTCAAAAGTGCCAAGTGTGCCTCAGCATCCCGGTCCTCAGGGATCAAAAGGGGAAATCAACAGCATGTGAACATGAAGGCCTGGAGAAATTATCAAAGCAGAAGTGGCTAAGGTAAGTGGAGTAGATGCACAGGCAAATACAGCTAACACCAGAGAAGATGGGTGCTGCCCTTTCTGATCCATCCAACAGGG